CAGGTTTACTGTTGGAAGATATTGTCTTCTTTGGGCTTTCTCTTTCGGGTTTCCGTTCAACGTTTTTAACACTCGTTCATGTGGGGTAGACACGAAAACGCTCATTACTTTCTCTAATTGACGTGGGACCCTACCAAAGCCACCCCCTTCGGGGTCTAACGTCCGTATTCCCCTCAAGGTTTTTAACACGCATTTGCTAGTGAGAGGTTTAAACACCCTTAATAAAGAGTGTTTCGTTCTCCTCCCCAGTTGATATGAATATCTCACAATTCACCCCTTCAGGATCGAGTGTCCTTGTTGGCACTCATTCCTTTCTTCAAACGACGTGGAACCCCACCAAATCTACCCCTTTGGGGTCCAACGTTCTTACTGGCACACTGCATCATGTCTACCCCTTTCAAAAAACAGCCTCCTCGCAGGTACATCGTCCGATATCTAGGCCTGACACCATTTGTAACAGTCCAGACTCACTGCTAGCCTACAGTATTATTCTATTTGGGCTTTCACTCTTGGGCTTCCCCTCAAAGTTTTTAAAACAGCAGAGGTTCCACGTGGTTATAAAGAATGTTTCATTTTCCTCCTCAATCGATATGAGATCTCGCAGGGAGGGCCCATCCTAGTAGGTCGTCAATTATCATGCATGTTACGACTTGTTGGCTCTCATTCCTTTCTCGAATCGATGTGGGACCCCCACAAAATCTACCTCATTCGAGGCCCAACGTCCTTATTAGTACATCACATTGTGTTTATCCCTTTTCGGAGAACAGCCTCCCCGCAGGTACATCACCGATGTCTAGTTCTGATACCATTTATAACCGTCCAAGCCCACCACTACCATATATTGTTCTATTTGAGCTTTTCCTTTCGGGCTTCCTCTCAACGTTTTTAAAATGCATCTACAAAGGAGAGTTTCCACACCCTTATAAAGAGTGTTTCATTCTCCTCCTCAATCGATACAGAATCTCGCAGGGAGGGTCCATCCAATACAGTAGGTCGTAAATTGTTAGGCATGTTGCGACTATACACATAGTCATTGTAACAGCTCGTTGTTCTATAAACAGGAAAAGTCCGCTCGCTCGTACGAGAGGCATGCAATTCTTACCCGTGCGCAACACGACGACGCACCATAGCTGTAAAAATCAAAGGGCAGGGAGGGAGGGAGGGACCATAGATGAGCTGTTTGATCAGAAGAACGAGTCCATACCATTGCTCATTTCTGAACCAAAATCAATCCTCTGCAAATTTCTGAAACCAACCAATTGTAGACCCAGTTCCCCACTGTGTTTCTGTAAGACGACGGGTCCATATGGATCGTACCACCTTTGACGACCTGTCGTCCTTCCTTTACCGTCTTCCTACTTCCTACTTCTCTTCATCTCCACTTATCCATAGCCGCCCTGCATTGTGGGCCATTCATCTCACCGCTGCTCTTTAAAAGCTTCACAAACCACACGTCGGTTGAAGAGTGGAACGAAACATTCTTTTTAACGGTATAAAAACCTTTTATAGAAGATGCGTATTAACAACTTGAGCTGACGGCATTATGTAACTGGCCGAAGCGGACTATATGTGTGAGTTGTTACAAATAGTATCAGAGCTGGGTATCGAGGGGTTTGCCTGCAAGGACGCTGAGCTCTGGGAGGGGTCGATTGTGAGATCCCTGATCGGAGAGGGGAATTAGTGTCAACGAGGACACTAGACTTCAAATGGGGTAAATTCTTAGATCTCATGTTCGTTGGAGAGGGGAACGAACCATTTTTTTTAACGGTGTGGAAACCTCTCATAGCACATGCGTTTTTTACAACGTTAGCTTACTACATTACGTAACTGGTCGAAGCGGACAATATCGGCTAGCGGTGTAGAGAAACTATATATATATATATATATATTTTTTTTAAATAAAGGTTAATTATGTTAATGTTATTTTTTAAAGATATAATTTTACGACCCTTAACTGCGGCTTGACTCCTTTCTCTGGAGCCATTTAACAAATTATACCCTTTATTCCATACTTTAGTCACTTTTGACTATACCTTTGAGGCTCACCGTTCTTTGTTCGATATATTCCTCACTTATAAACTCATGATCTTCACTAAATTAACCAACGTGAGACTTACTCCCAGTAACAATCTCAAAAGTTAAAATTCTCCATCCATGTAAAAAAAAAAACCTAAAACTTGATTTTGTATTTTTTTTTTGTTGTACTAAATAAAATTAAACGATAATTTTATTATTATTGACCCGACTTTGACAAAATTTGTATTTAATTCAATATCTATATATATATATATATATATAAAGGAGGGAAGATTTCAACGTTGAGAAATGTAAATTCAAATCATGTTTTAAAGTATCGTTTTAGTTGAAAAGTGAAATAGGAGACTCTTTTCGGAGAGAGTACGTACAACTTGTCGTGTTTGATTTTTATTATTTATCATTAAGGACGATAATATTTGAATTTTAGAAACGGTTCCATTAATAGTTGAATATATTGACTAAAAAATTCATTTAACTTAATTTAAATGATGGTGAATATCACACGTAAGAGTAACTTTAGCGTTAAAATATTTATATTATATTTATTATTTTAGATGAAAATGTGCCTTCATTTACAGATTTTTATCCTTTTTTTGCAATTTGTTTATTTAATAACAAGAGACGACTTGCCAAATTGAGATTTGACGTCTACTCAATCAAACAATCAAAAAGTCAGATATTCAAAATTTTCAAATCTATTTCATAAATTAAAAATTAAAAAAATCGTAAAATATTTTTTAAAAATTTAAAAATTTATTTATTGTTAGTATATAAACATAGCCACGTTTGAAAAGTGCTAGCTTTTAAAAATAATAATAATAGTTTTGAATGATAATAACTTTTTTATTTATTTTTAATTCAAGATATCTTTAATATATATATATATATATTTTAATTTAAAGTATTTGTAAATTTATGAATTTTTTTATAGATAAAATATAAAAATAATGAGTATTTTTATTAATTTAGCGAATTTGTTAAATATTATATAAATTTGGTTAGAAAAAAAAAAGTAAGAGGAGGTTTTTGTGGGCTTTAATTAATATATATATTAATTTAAAAAAAAAAGAAACTATAAATCCAATTAAATTCATACTATAGTTGGAATTTATCCAAACTTGGATGAGATTAATTATAATTTTTTAAATCTATAAAATAGGTGTTTACAAATACAAGAATACCTATGTACCCCTTAGCTTATATAATATAAGATCGTAATGTCAAAATTATACATAAATTGTAATTAATGTTACATTTATTTTTCGAACAGCAATTTGGCAAGTAATTGACTGAAATTAATTTAATACATTATTAAATGTTTTTTAATTTTTTTTTAAAAAAGAAAAGTGCTTGGCTATAAATTTAATACATAAATACATTGATGGATTAATATTACCTAGTAGGAAAGTAAAATGGAAGTGTAATAAACTATTTCGATTTATATACTTTTTAATTTTTTTAAACGAACGAATTTAAAAGTTTAAAAAATTTGTTCGAAATCTAAAAAAATAGGTGTTCATATAACACGACAACTCAAGTAATTCGAACTATACAAGACAGATCATAAAAGTTGAGTTGGGTTAAGTTTTTTGAAAAAATAAAATTCGGTTCGATATGCAAACTGACGTTTTTTAGTTGGATAGGACAATAATAGGGTTACCGGTTTAAAAAAATTAAAATATTTAATTGTTTCGATAATAAAGTTATTTTTTAAATAATAATAATAATAATAATAATAAAAGACTGATCTAACTCGAAAATAGAGGATTAAATTGGGTTATTTATTTTATTCGGGTTGCTTGAGTTACCAGCACAATAAACTCGAAATTTTGAGTTATTTTAAAAGATTTTTTATTTAACTCAACCAAACCTAACTCGTGGACACTATTATTTAAATGTATTAATGAAAATAAAATTTAATAATGTTTTTAGAATATAAAGTTTTATTTTTTTAATTCTTTATAATTTATCCCGTCGACAGTGCCTTTCTTTTGTCGCAACCGAACGCGTTCACACGTGGGTTTCAGTCCACGAAAGTTCCACTGTGGCGTCTGTCCAACCCAACCCCATCCATTTGACCAATTTTTTTTTTTTTTTTTTTTTTTTATTTTTAAATTTNTTTTTTTTTTTTTTTTTTTTTTTTAATTTTAAATTACTTATTTAATTTTAAATTTATTCTATTTGGTAACTTCAATACTTTTAAATATAAATAGATTATTAAACGTTAAAAATTATTTTAAAAATATTTAAATTTACTTAAAATTTTAATTGTGTTTTATAGGTCATTAACCTATTCCAACACTTTTTTTTTACAAATCACAAAGACATTATAATTAAAATTGAACATTAAAATTTAATTTTATGCTTCTTAAATCAATCAATTTAAAAATTGTTAAACATATTAAAAACATAATGTAAAATAAAAAATAAAAAATATACAAGATATTCTTAAAAGTTTAATAACCTATATTCTTAAAAAATATACCAGATATTTTAACACTTTTTTTAAATAAATCACAAAGACATTAAAATTAAAATTCAACGTTTAGAGTTTTATTATAACATAAAATTTAATTTTATACTTATTAAGTCAATTAATTTTAAAATTGTTAAACATATTAGAAATATAATATAATATAATATTAAAAATAAAAAATATTCCAGATATCCTTAAAAGTTTAATAACCGGTGATTATTAAAAATTCATTATACGTTTATAATTATATAATAATTTGCCCACATTATTATATAAAGAATAATTAAAAAAGACTCAAACTTAATTTAATGAAAAGAAAATAATGTGATTAATTATCTTAAAATGATATAAAATTAAAAAAAAAAATTGAAATCTTAATAATAAAAAAAGAATAAATATGGAAATTAGAGAAAAATAGAAAGAGGACAAAAATGGAAGCAGAATGGTGTGACGGGCAGGCCACGTTAAAACCAAAAATGCCACTTTCTTATAGGCCTTGGGGGAATGAATTGTCTCTGGATCTCTCTCAAACGCGTCTGTGTGCTGACTGTTCGCTAGGGACCCTCGCTTCGCTGGCCTCAAAAGTTATCTCTTGTCACTCTTTAACAGGGGACCGACCCCTCTCCTCCGTCTCCCCACCCACACCCTTCCGCCAGGGTCGCCTCCGCCCCCCATTTCAGCCACCACCCCCATCTTCTCCTCCTCCTCCTTCATTAAATCCCATCGAGGAGCAACCAAAAACCAGAACCCACCCAGATCTCCCTCTATATAACCTCTGCAATTCATCCCCCTCCTCAGATCTCCATAGTTTTCTTCTTCTTCTTCTTCTTCTTCTTCTTCGTCTTGTTCTTCTCGACTGTTCTTGAATTTCCTGGTATTTTTGTTTGTTTCCCTTCCCTTTTGGTTAAGTTTTTGACTGGTTCTATTGATTGGGGTTTTGGGTTTCCATTTCTGAATTTGAATCGTTTCTGGGTCTAATTTGTTGAATGTGAATTGGTAGGCTTGGTTCTAGATTGATGGTGTTTGTTCTGACCAATCCGTACAATAATCTGGTGGAGGAAGTGGGTTTGGCTTTGATCACTATTGTGTTTCAAAAACCTCTTTAATCTTCGACTTTGATTTCTTTTTCTCTGTTCATTGTTTGCGACCAGTAATTTGCCTGGGCTTTCTGCTTGGGATAAGAAACAGAGAGGGGTTTTGGAAAATATATCCTAGACCCCGATTGTTATGATTAGCAGAGGGATAAAGAATGGTCAATCCATTTGTGTGGTAATGTTTTCTCACTACATTATCTACGTTGTGTTTGGCTGAGAAAGACAAGGAATATAAAACAAGGGGGAAGAACAAAACCTTGTGCAATTGGAAATTCTGGGTTTAAAAAGAATCACTTAGGGGGAAGATTTTTGTTTTAGATGTGGAGGATTTGTTGGATGAGATGAGGGATGTTATCGGAGTTCATGGATTTCTTGAGGGCTTGTTTCCGACCGAGCTCCGATCGGTACGTGGCGGGGGATATCAAGGGGAGGCAGGACGGGCTGCTATGGTACAAAGATAGTGGACAACATTTGAATGGTGAGTTTTCAATGTCTGTGGTTCAAGCCAACAATTTGCTTGAAGATCAGAGCCAGGTTGAGTCAGGCAGTTTGAGCACACACGAGTCTGGCCCCAGAGGAACGTTTGTTGGTGTGTATGATGGCCATGGAGGCCCCGAGACTTCTCGGTATATCTGTGATCATCTCTTCCAGCATCTCAAGAGTGAGACATCTACTTTCTGCATCAATTCAAAACTCAGAAATTTCTTATTGCAGCTTTATATTTTCTGTTCATTCCTATTTGATCATGGAGGAAAAAAAAAAAAAAAAACTAGTTTATGGATCATTTAGAAGGTTCATGAGTTCACTTGGGTTTATGTTTACCAGGATAGAAGATTCTGCTTTGCACCTATAGTTTTCTGAATTAAAGTACTCACTTCATATGTGATAAAGGGAATATTTCTGTCATATCTGTTTGGGTGGATACATCATAGATGGTTGAAAATTTTGTTGATCTTTCTTCTGTAGGGTTTACTTCTGAGCAAGATTCAATGTCTGCGGATGTAATACGCAAGGCATTCCAAGCGACAGAAGATGGTTTTCTTTCAATAGTTCAAAGGCAATGGTCAACAAATCCTCAAATTGCAGCTGTTGGTTCATGCTGTCTAGTTGGTGTAATCTGTGATGGGACTCTCTATGTTGCAAATCTAGGTGATTCACGTGCTGTTTTGGGTAGAGTAGTGAAGGCGACTGGGGAGGTTCTCGCCGTTCAGTTATCGACAGAGCACAATGTTTCTAATGAGTCGGTGAGGCAAGAGCTGCAATCTTTACACCCTGAAGACTCAAAGATTGTGGTTCTAAAGCATAATGTTTGGCGAGTGAAGGGCATAATACAGGTTAGTTAGTACAGATCTTTGCACTTCTCTTGTATGTTACGAGTAATTGAATGGTCGGCTTTGTGTCTGCTTTCCCTTTCCTGTATTGCTCTTATTTTCTATAAGCCGAAGCATTGAACAAGTACAAGCAATGATTGAAATTTTCTTGTGCTAGCTGTTTCAACCAGCTATTTCCTGCTCTACACTTTGAGCAAATTAGAATACCTGGATTCTCTAACCTAAAGGGCACGCTAAGAATGAGTAGTCCTGTAAGATCCCACATCGGTTGGAGAGGAGAACAAAGCATTCCTTATAAGGGTGTGGAAACCTCTCCCTCGTAGCGTTTTAAAACCTTGAGGAGAAGCCTAGAAGGGAAAACCTAAATAGGACAATATCTGCTAGCGGTAGATTTGGGTTGTTACACACTGGTTCTTTGACTTTGAAAATTGACTCCTCCCTCATATTTTCATTAGCAGTTTAGTTAGAACAGACAGCCAATCCTTTGAAGTTACAGATTCAGTATCCTGCTGACTCCAGCTTGCCTTCAACTCCACACATTGTGCTTCCTTCTAGATATGTAATCAAGACTCATTTGGATTAATTTTGGAGGGAAAATGGAAGTAGCTCAGGATTTCGACCGCATGTTTCTGGTTTTGGTGTACTGTGGTTTAGAAAGAACATGAAACATTCTTTTGATGAGCAAAAATTAATAACTTTAGAGTTAATATGTGAGATCCTGCATCGGTTGGAGAGGAGAACGAAGTATTTTTTATTAGGGTGTGGAAACCTCGGAGACGTGTTTTAAAAACCTTGAAATGAACCCCAGAAGGGAAAATCCAAAGTGGACAATATTTACTAGCAGTGGGCTTGGAGTGTTACAAATGGTATCAGAGTTAGACATCGGGAGGTGTGCCAGCAAAGACGTTGGGCCTCCAAGGGGGGTGGATTGTAAGATCCCACATTGGTTGGAAAGGGGAACGAAATATTCCTTATAAGGATGTGAAAACCTTTAGCAGATACATTTTAAAACCTTGAGGGGAAACCTAAAAGGAAAAGCCCAAAAGATGACAATATCTGCTAGCGGTGAGCTTGGGTGTTACATAATAAAACTCGTACTTTTAAGGATCAAACTGTTTTCTGATAGCTCAATCATTATGCAATCTAAAAGTTAACCGGTGAGTGATAGTCATTTGCATCGAATGGAAACGGGCATCATTTCTCCCTAGTTAGCCAGTTATGGGAGAAAATAGCCATAACACCTCCTCCTTTCACTTTGGAGAAATTAGAATGTCAAAAGACAAGCCTTTCTTTTCTTCTTTCTGTTTCGGTTGTGTTTTGTAATTGACATTAGAGAGAAATGAATATGGCTGTTTTTATCATTGAACGGTATACACTAGCATGAGAGCTTGTCTAACTATCAATGCTTCACATAACTCTTAGACACATATCTGGAGAACATGCTTTCTTGTTCGGTCTATGGTTTAAATTCAATATGAGATTCTAATCTTCCAAGACTTTACCATTACAGATCTCCAGATCCATAGGCGATGTGTACTTGAAAAAAGCCGAGTTCAATAAAGAACCTCTGTATTTAAAGTTTCGAGTTCGGGAGCCCTTCATAAAGCCAATTTTGAGCTCTGAACCAGCCATTTCTGAGACCCAGTTGAAGCCAGATGATCAATTTATTATATTTGCATCAGATGGGTTGTGGGAGCACCTTAGCAACCAGGAAGCAGTCGATATAGTTCATAGCCATTCTCAAAGTGTGAGATTTCAATCTAAATTTTTTTGGTTCATCACCTTTTGCATTAAACAATCTATATGTGCTCATGACATGAGCAGCCTTGTCCATTGTGGTTTGAAGGAATGTTGCTTGAAGTATCTTGGATGGCTATCATGAACATGCATTCCACCTTTATTGTCTATAAATTTGCACCAACTGATTCTTAGATTAATGTGCATTGGCCATTGATTTTCACCTCTTATTTCCATGCTCTTTTGACTCTGATACCAAGGACTGAGTTATAAATTTGCACCGTTCTATCCTTTCCTATAGTGTCATTACATGACCATTTTGTGGGTAACAGGAGAGAGAAGCTAAGATCATGTTTCACTTGTGCTTTTTGCAGGGAAGTGCAAGAAGACTGGTCAGAGCTGCTCTCCAACTAGCTGCAAAGAAAAGAGAAATGAGGTACTCAGATTTGAAGAAGATTGACCGGGGTGTTCGTCGCCATTTCCACGACGACATCACCGTGGTGGTTGTGTTTCTCGATACAAATCTGCTCTTCAAAGCCAGTAACACAAAGAGCTCGAGTGTCTCGCTACGAGGGGGTGGAGTCAACCGCCTTCCTAACTCTCTAGTCAAAACACCCAAGTAGAACATGAAAATCCCTGATTGAAGGAATTGGTATGGATCTTTTACCGTATTCCCCACCCCCCC